AAATAATTAACAATATAATTAAATGCCTCTCTCTACTAGAAGAGATAAAATTTCATGTACCTGCCTATAGAAATAGACAAACACAGTTGTTTTATATAGCACACCATAAAAACAATTTGAAAAATGGTCCCCTGCAAAGGGCTTATAAATACTAAACTGCGCAAATGTCCAACTAGATATTTTTTCTAGTCACAAAACTGTTATAAAATAGAATTATTGTCAATTCTAAACCATCGAAGGAAATCATGTATATATTCAGGTCTGATTATACTATTTATAATGTATTTGTTATATTTGTAAATTACGAGGTTTGTAATGTATACATACTGTGTAAACGGAAATATATTACGTAAATAAAGATATATAATCCGTATAAGTGGCAATAAATACCGTAGCCTGCTACATTTTTTTTTTTTTTTAATTTTATTTATTTATTTGTTACCTATACAGAATTGTATACTATACAAATATGTACACATGCATGAAATATCACACAGCACAACACTAGCACTAATGCCAGCACTGCACCGGTAGGACACATGCTTTGAGGAGCCAGCCATTGCTGGCACTCAGTTTATATGATTAGGGATCAAGGAGGTCCCGAGGCCATCGTCGGTTGAGGCGTCGTGGTGGGTTGTCAGGATGGGAATGAGTGGATAGGGCTCGAGCCGTGTGGTTAGGATGGTTTGAAAGGTTGGTATGGAAGGTTTGGAATCTGGACTGGATTAGTTCGTTGGCAAAAGGAATGTTGAGGTCTTTGTGGATAGTGAGGTTAGTGACATAATAGGGTGCTTTAACAATTTGTCTAAGGACTTTCGATTGGAAGGACTGGATGCGCTGGATATTGGAAGGCTTGGCAGTGCCCCACAATTCTACTCCATATGTCCATATTGGTCTTAGTAAAGTCTTGTATAGTGTTAGTTTTGTCTTAATTGTCAAAGTCGATTTCGGTCTTAAAAGTCTTCGTAGTAGTCCAAGTCTTGTATTAAGTTGCTGTTTTTTAAGTCTTGTGTGGGGATTCCACGTCAGTCTGCTGTCGAGATATAGTCCCAGGTATTTGACTTGAGTGGAAACTGGTATCTCTTTGTTGTTGATGTACAATGGAGGGCAAGACTGCTTTTTCAGCGTAAAAGTACACTGAGTGCATTTTTCTTCGTTCAGTCTTGTCCTCCATTTTTTACACCAGTCTTCGATAAGCTCAAGGTGTTCCTGGATGTTGGAGGTAGCTTGGACAGAATTCGAGTTGCAGGATAGGATTGCGGTGTCGTCCGCGTAGGTGGTGATAATAGTGTCAGGATGTGTTGGTAGGTCAGCAGTATAAATGATATATAGGACAGGACCAAGGATACTACCTTGCGGTATACCGGCCTGTGTCTGTTTGAGTTCTGAGAATTCATTGCCGCACCTCATTCTGAAACAGCGGTCAGTTAGGTAGGATTTCATTAAAAGGTAATAATGGGAGGGTAGGAAGCGCTTGAGTTTAAAGAGTATGCCTGGATGCCAGACCCTGTGCCTGCTACATAATAATTTAAGTTTGCATAAAAAAATCAAAGGTCAATACAGTGTTACAAAAGAGATGAATCATGATATTTGAATAGTCTTTTATTTTTTATAAATATTTGTTGCGTAGTAGTAAAGTCATGGTCCAACTGTACGTGCTGTTTATGGTTGGTTAGACGTCTTTCAGCATGTGGTTGAATTTAGAGCTGTTTCCTTGGTTGTTTCCTGTGAAAGTCAGAGGGAGAAGGAAATAGGTCTTTAAAAGTAAACGAATGTCCTTAATCTTGTTTTACAAGCAAATTGGAACGCTTTCGGCAATTTTATTTCTACCTTAATTTTTTAAAGATGATTTTTATGGTATGAACAAGAAGTAGGTACTTCCTAATATTTTGATGTTATGAGCGTTTAAATACACATTAAAATTAAAAGGAAATCGGTTTTCTTTACGAGAAACATTTGTATTTGTACATATCAAAATATTTGCCTCATTTTTCTGAACAGATTACCGACTTGCACGGGATGTAAATAACCACTGTAATCGGGTTTTAGGGCTGTTTCTTGCCGGATGGTTTTGCTCTGAGAGGATAAATAACGAATTAAGAGATCCTTTTCCATTTGACGTGTGTGCTTAAAAGGAAAAACAAGGACGCAAACATCTTAGATACTAACAGTTCACGTCGGCTATTTATCCACAACCTCGGAGACGAGAGGGCTAATTAACGAAACTCCAATGTAGCCCAAATTACTATATCAATATTTAGACGAAACGTTGATTAGGAGAAGTGATCAAATCAAATTAAAGGAAATGTAAACAAATTTCTCTTAGAGGGCCGAGCGTTTGGAGAGTGGTTTAATTATCCCACAATAGATATACGCAGATCATTTAAAAATTTTATCAATACTTGTTCAAAAAATAAATATAAAAAACACACACATAAGCACACTCACACACTGAAGAAAACAATGAGTATTACTAATAAATCAGGGGCAAGCTACTTTTCCCACAACAGCGTTGGAAATCACACTCGATCTTGTACCTTAAAGCAGGGAACACACTTACCCGATGCTACCCGACGCAAATCCAAAGTCCATTTTTTCATAAAATTGTATTACCCCCTTGCACATCTGCCCGATGCTATGCAACTCTAATCTACTCTACGCTCTGCGATCCCCACTCTCCAGATTTTCGTCGAGTAGCATCGAGTACAGTCGAAGACAAAAAAAAACCAGACACTCATATTTTTATTCAAACAACATGTATTATTTTCGTTATATTAATTAAAACATACTTATTTTAATATAAACCAAATTAACCGAGATCAAAAATTCATTAGTTTTTATTTAAAAAAAAAATAATTTTTATGGTTTAGTAGAAAATTGATCAAAACACTGGAATGCCATTTTTTGATACAATGAATTTAAGTAGCAATTTATTACACGGCTTTGCTCATAAAATTTAACTAACAATTTATTTCATGGTTTTGCTCATAAAATTACACCATTTTCGTCGAGTAGTGTCAGAAGAGGACACTCATATTTTTGTAGTTTATTTCAAACTGTGTATTATATTAATTCCAACATTCTTATTTTAATATAACACAAATTAAACGAGATCAAAAATTCATGAGTTTTTATTAAAAAAAAATATTTTTATGATGTTTAGTAAGAAAATATATCAAAACACCGGAATAACTTTATTTAAAACAATTAAGTTTACCAAACAATTTATTACATGGTTTTGCTCAAAATAATGCATTAAGGACAAAAGAAGCGTTGCGATTGTGATACTGATTTGTGATACACGATGTGTGCGCTTGTCGTCGCATAGATGTACTCACCCTACCAAAACGTGACAAGGCGTCGGGTAGCGTCGCATAGCGTTGCATCGGGTGTGTTCCCGGCTTTACACATTGATGTACAAATGTGACGACAGGTTGCATTCAAGAGTGCCAGCAGACATGAAAATAAAAGATCTAAAGAGAAGCTATCAATAAATTCTAAAGTGAATTAAAATAAATGAGATGACTGTAACAGTTTTTGAAAATATTAAAGGAAACTTAACTTTGACAGATCCTTCCAAGCGGTCATAGAGAGATCTTTGGAAAAAAAAGGCAATCTCCAAATTTCAGGAAGGGGCCTATTATGGTACACTGATGGTACAGATGTATGGTAATATGGTACAGGGAAAAAGGTATGTGTAGCAAAAAAGGGTTAAATTATACGCTAGCAAAACCTATGGCTAGTTCCAACAATCTTCTAAGTTGAGGTCCATGCAATCTGTCTTTGTACCCAGGGGTTAATAAGGAAGAATATAAAAGGTGCACAGATTACATAAACAGCCGAGCAGTCCTACAGGCACTAAATGCGTATGCTTTTAACTTCAATCGAGTCTGAGAATAAAGAAATTGTCCTATGACCCTAGGAAAGTACAAGTTTACGTTAAAGTGAATCCCGGGACACGAAGTTTAATTTAAAAAAAGATGCCTGACCAAATAGCCAAAAAAAAGGAGCAGCCATACCATCCTTGAGACCGGTACCACGAGTAAGCGAACCGGAGAGAGGGGTAAAGTAGGAGCTTGAAAAATACCTTGAAAAAGAAATACTCAAGCATGGGAAAAAACACTACGCATGGGGTAAGCGTTAAGAGATTACAAAAATCGTCAAAAAACTCACTTAGCAGGCAAGATTTATGCTCATAGAGATTTGATGCCGCTATATATTTACCACTGCCGACTTACCTACCGCCTAAACAATATGGGAAATGAGAAAAACAGAAACAAGCAGACTATGTCAGGAGAACACAAAGATATTGCCACATGCCCTTTGTGAACATGAAGTCTGGATACAGCCTTTTCGGTAAGGCAATTCTCACCAAAAGGTCCACAAAGAAGTACCGAGTTTATTAATTTTTATTAGAAAAGACATACTTTCTATGGTATAGAGGAACTAGAAAGAATCGGTCCGTTAGGTAGGAGTGAAGCATTAGATACAAAAAACGAAGGGCACGTTGTTTACGGAACCCTCATGCCACACGTGATCAAACTTTTGACAGTCAAGAAAGGCCCCATAAAATATTTAGTTTGCTTAAGGGATGAGGATGTGGTCCACAATACGAAGCATCTACTGGGTTGGTGAATGTTGAGGTCGAAAACCTAATTGGACTTTTGTTAATATTTCTTTAAAAAAAAAATTCTTTTTTTTAAATTCAGTCAAATGGGAGAGAGAAAAATATTTTATGATTTTTTTTACAAAGATTTTAAATACATTTTATGATTTTTTTTGTTAAACATTTTTTGAGGCTTAAAAGGGTGAAAATTGCATCTTCTGCTATCATATAACAAACCCAGTTTATGATAAATTAACTTTCAGTTTTCATTTCTGTTTGTATAAATCACTTCTGGTATTTATTTTAAACGTGTGTTTAAAAGATATTCTTGACTTTTGAACACCTGTCTTTAAAAAGAATGAATAGCAAAACTTTATTACAAAAACGGTTCATAATTAATAATAAATATGGTTTGATTTATTGTGTATGAACTTCACATGATATTTTAACATTTCATGTACTTTATAATATAACTCTTTCCAAAATAACAAAACTAGTATTATAACAAAATTTTCCATGTGATTTAGCGATAGAAAGACTAAAATTACGATATCTTGAGTTTATCAGATTGCGATGTCAGGTTTTCTTCACTCGATTCGATTAGAGATACCGTTGATTCGGTCGCGCGTTGTACGCTTTTCTGGAGTAGCGAGTCGCAGCAGGGCTTCATCACGTTTTTCCAGATAACATTCGCAATTTCGTCGATCATGGCTCCTATTTCCAGCCTTTCACCGCTGTGCCTGACGTACGCCCAGGTCAGGAGGGTAATTATCGACCCGATCATGAACAAGTTACAGAAATTGGCCAACGTGTAGATACCCAGGAGGGCGAAAAAGCCGGAAAGTATATAGAAAAAGATGCCCACCGAAAAGAGTACGGCCGGCGTCCTAGCCGACTTGAAGAGGTTTTTGTTTTCGTTGAGAAGTTTGAACCTGGTGAACATCTCTTCGATTCCTTTGTCCAGCTGGGTCCTGTAATGTTCTGAAAATTCCTCGCCTCCCATTTTCCTCTTGCTTGAGAACTGCTGGAGCGCGGCTTCCTTTATTCTCAAATGGCACTGCTCCATGATCTGCGCGCTCATGAACGGTTTCCCGGAGCCACAGGCTTCCTCCATCTTCATCTGGTAGGTGTCTTTCGCCGACGCCATTGCCGCTAGATTGTTAGCCTCGGCTGTAGCGACGAGCATGGATTTCGGCTCAGGGAGTTCGTTCCCTCTGTAAATTTCAATGTATGATTTGAAATACTGCAACAAATCTTTTACCTTCACTTTTTCGCCGTCGATTTTTTTGACCGTGAGTTTTTCCGGAGTCAGGATCGTGTGGATGAACCTAACCAGGTACTGGATAAATTCCGGTTCGATGTCTTTCAACTTACCGTCAAACGACGGATTGGTTGCGACTTTCAGACCCGGATGAGGCATGAGGAAGCAGGCGATTTCACTGAAACAGCCTCTGATGTGCTTTCTGATCGATTGTAGTTCCGGATGCTGGGATTCGTGGATTTCGAGCCGCTTGTCGAGCAGTTTCTTACCGCCGACGTCTCCGAAAGGCGTTTCGTACGGAAAACTCCAATCTCTGACGAGAAACTGCAATTTTTGGAACGGCGTGTCGTAACTTTTGGCGAGAGCGAGTTTGCCGTATTCGGTGAAGAGCTGCAAGTGCTGGAGATCGTCTTCTTGTATGTTCTGGCTTATATTGTAAATTTGTATCGAGCTCAGCATAGTGCTGAGTGCGAAGATCGTCGCGCAGTCTTTCACCGTGCTCTGGCTATCGAACGTCCCTTGCGTGTCTAGCAAAATGATAGCTACTTCCTCACCGAGCACCGTCGTTTTGAAAATCTCAGACCATATCTGTATGCCCGTCGTCTCCCTCTCGGCTCCCCCACGCCAGGAAAAGCCATCCAGAGGTGCGTTGTCTCGCCCGATCCAGTCTCTAGTTGATTCGTTGCTGCCGTATTTCGATCTTAAATAACGCAAAAAGAAATCGAGCAAAAACGACTTCCCTTTTCTGAAAACCCCGGCGACAGACAGGACGACGGCAGTTCGGTCCTTTACATCCTCTCTCAGGAGAATCTTTTCCAACTCCTGATCGTTGAGGACGAAAGAATGATTGCCTGTGGCCTCAACTACTTGAATCGCGCTTCCCGTCCTCTCCATAATCGAACCAACGAACTTTTAAACAAAATACAATGATATATTGTTTTTTATGTTAAATTGTTACTAAGGAAAAGACTTTAAACCCTACACAAATATACCTTGCTAAATAACTTAGTTAATTTTGTTAAAAGTTTTGTAACGGTGCATATGTTTCTCCACAGCTGACGTCGTAACAGATGTAAATCTGCCTTTTGAAATGTGTTGATTAGTGAAAACATGTTAAAAATTAGTTTTGAAGAAAAAAAACCTTTATTAGCTTTCACAGTTTTTATATCTATCTATTTTATGTAAAAAGAAGAAAAGTTATTTAGTACAAATAGATCTAGTTTTTTATTGTACAAGAAAATTTTAATCGTAGCTCATGAGTGTTTAAAATTAATAAACTAATTATACCTGAAAAAACCCATTTAAGTTATAATAAAAGTAAGATATATTTGAAATTAATTTACATAAGATGGTTTTATAAATCACTAAAATAAAAATTAATTCTTCTTTTTGGCATGTTTTGACGAAAACATCTATTTTTATTTTTCAGATTACAGTATAAAGTTAATTTAAATTTCTCTCTCTCACTCTCTCTCTTTCTCACTTTTTGACACCCACTTTTTTCTCCTTTTCTCTGACTTAAGCAGCTTTTCTCTCTCTCTTACTCTCTCTCTCTCTCTCTCTCTCGCTCTCTCTTTCACTCACTCACTCAATCTCTTTCTTTCTCTCTCTCTCTCTCTCTCTCTCTCTCTCTCTCTCTCTCTATTTCCCCCACCACCTCACTCTCTCTGACACCACTTTCTTTCCTTTTTCTGAGTTGCTCTCTCTCTCTCTCTCTCTCTCACTCTCACTCTCTCTCTCTCTCACTCACTCACACTTTCTCTTTCTTTCTCTCTCTCTATTTCCCTCACTTCTTCTCTCTCTCTCTGACACCCACTTTCTTTTCTTTTTTTCTCTCTCTCTCTCTTTCTCACGGATTCACTCACCTACTAATCCCTTGGAATTGGTTCTATATAGTTGGTTAATGTTTCGTCCACACGTCACTCTTGTTTGTCTTGTAACAAGAACCACATGAATTTACATTCGAATACTTAGGAATGTCAGCCTGGACCGATGAAAGGTGCTGACAGATATAACTGATTGCAAATGGTCTGCTAAACTTGGCAATGGGTAAAAACGCATTTTTTAAGTGGAACTAGTCACAAAATAAAATGTGTAATTGTCTATATAATATTAGCAATGTTTAAAAAAAAATCCAATTTAACGATTCCGGTAACATTGATATAACATACGAAACCAACGCAACGGAATGGTGTGAAACGATAAAATATCAAATTTACCACTACAAGCAAGTGTTTGGGATAGATTGGCTAGATATTTTAATAAACTAAAAATTAAGTTTGTGTTCGCGCCAAAAATCGCGAATTATAATTGATTATTTGTTTCCGAAATGCCGCTAATCTAGAATTTATCCTAGCTCTCTTCCCTCCCCATAATCCGTTCCTGTTGCTGCCTAGTCCTGCTCTAGTCCTGTTCGCTTCCGTCTCGCTTCCATACAGTCCACTGTTAATTAGCCTCCAAGAGTGATTTTTTTTTAGTTTTCTTTCAGTTTTTCTCTTATTTTCAAGAAGCATTTTTTGTCTTCCGTTTTGTTAATTATCGCGTTCAAAGCGAGTGTCTCCTCCCGCATCCTTAATGCGACACATCACACAGGATTCGGACGGAGCCCGAAGGTAATTAATAGACTAGGATTCTGTTTTATCTTTGGCCAGAATTATTGCAGGTTCTAGCTATTAAACGGCTCTCCTCCCTGGTTGTCGAGAAAATCCAGCCACAGTTAACAAGTTAGTATTTTAATTTATTTTGTATTTTATTTATTTTGTATTTTTATTTTATTTAACCAAATTTTATTGCGACCGACCAGCGCGTGCACAGTTTGAAAACTTAAAACGAAAAATGAAACCATTCTTTCATGACAACACACTGATTCGCATTATGTCCAGCTCAACCATTTTTTCCAACTCTCATAGAAGACAAGCGCAGGTGGTCTCGAGACGATCCGATTTTGTAACTTTGGCAACCCCTGGAACTGTTGTTGACTTCACGCTATAATGGCCAATTACGACCACTTTTATTGGAAGGTGGCCGTTCAATAATTGCCAAACTATAATAACTATAATACCAAACGTTGAAATCAAAATGTACCTTTGTAAAGTAAATTATTGGACTTTTTAGTCAACATATAAGTTGTTAATCATCAAGGCCCAAAATCCAATTTTTTACCTTTTTCAATTCAAGGATGAATTTCAGACGAGAATTAATAGTGGTTCGTTGTCATTTTTTAAATGAATATCAACTACGCACCGCGACGTTTCAATATGAGTAAAAATCGACCAGCCGATAAGTCGTAATTTGTATTCTCTAAATATTTAATCGAAGTGGATGAATAGGTAAAAGACCTTTTCAACGGTGGAATTGATTAATTACCCTTCCCCGTTCCACAATTCCCGGAATGCTGGGAGGTATTAGTGGACTGTAAAAACCTCAGCCTTTTCAGCCATAAATTAACAAGAGAAGATTTATGTTTATTAAGAGAGAAGGGGGAAGAGGCTTTTAGCCATAAATATATTATAAGCATAATTACTTCTTGCTATGTTAACCACGCATTGGCGTAAGCCCGGGCTATATTATGGTGTAAATTTCTGTAAGGAACCGCATAACTGACTAGATCACGTTGGAAGTATAAAAAATAAACTAGGAAATTTATAATAGAGAAATGAATTGAGATTTAGATATGGAGGCCTATTTAGATAGGTTTATTCATGAAAAGAAACAATTTTATAAGAAAATTTAAATAAAAACTGTGTCTAGAATCTTAAAACGGATGTATACACGTTAATTAATATGGAAAGTTAAAAGAAAGTTCTCTGACAAATTAACAAAATAAAAAATAAGCGCTACCCTGCCAGTGATGAAATTTGCATCAGCCCTCGGTCGACGAAGCTGCAAGGCTGCGATAGAGAACATCCCTTTTCTTTTCAATAAAGGACCTGTGGTATCAGCCGGCAGTCAACCAAGCTGAAGACTCCGTGTAGAAGATCCTTTTGTATTTTTACAAGGAGTCAGCGGGAGGTCCTTTCCCAAGGCTTCTCTAAAAAGAAGGAGCCTTATTCTCACGCACCGGTTCTCCACTTAACGCTGTGTTGACGTTCGAAATACAAATTTTATATACAACAAATGGGTGATAAAAAAACAAAAAGGAAGAATAAAATACCTTTAATGGCATTAGGGTATACAAATATTGATTTTTCTGTTATTAGCATTTAATTAGCAGTTTTTAAATGTAATTATTAACACATTTCATAAGAATTAATTAAGGTTTTTCATCTCAACTATAAACCTTAATTAATTGTCATGTATTAATTGGTCAAGCGGACCACGAAAGTAGTGAATTAAACATTTCATAAGGTATAAATATTTTGTTGATTGATATAATATAAATGTCCTTCGAAAGTTTTGCAGCTAATGTGTTGACAAAATGTATACTTCCATAATAACTTAAGTATATATTCTATAATATATACTTAAGGAATGAAAATTCCTTATATAAATATATATTATATATATGTATTCCTTATAAATTTAAAATAATTAAATGTCAATACGGTAGTAAGGTGCAAAAGGCTTTGTGGCCGCCTCTTTTATCCCTATCTCGATCTCCTACAATGGTGGATCCTTTAAAGAAAACTTAGTTCAGAGCCACCAGAACGAGGTTTATGGAAATTAAAACGATGATTCGCTATTCACGCTAATAAATTAAATTCACTCACCATATATCATTTACAGTGTCCTAGAGTACTCGTTATTTCTTGATGTAATTAATTGGGGATAAGCAGTTACACATTTGCTCATCTTGACCAATATTGAGTTTAGCGTATAATTTATGTAAATATTTAATTGAATAGTTTTTTGGTCGGGGTTTTTTTTTTATTTTACTTTGTTTGTCAGTTTAGCCGTTTCAGAAAGTTACGGCTTATTTATGACCGGGGGTCGTTCACACGGATCTACGAAAGCTGTGTCGGAAGCTCGTGCTGTACTTTGATCGCTCGTATGTTGGACAAATCTTCAGAACATTTTTTTTTCGTGATGTCCACTCTTCAACGTTGGCAGAAAGGAGCTGATTTTCGTTCCATGAGATATCCGTAGGTGAGCCTACTGTGTTCAATTCTCAATCGCGTCAGAACAATTTCTTTGATCCTCGAACACAATCTAATAATTACATGTTCCAACAAATACCACATATAACATACGGCAAAACGGTGATTGTTTACTAGGTCCCCAGTCACATACGTCTGAAGAGTAATAAAAGTGCACATCTCTCTGTTGCTAAAAATGTAATAAAAATATGATTAAAAGAAAGTGGTAGCGTCGATGAGCGTGTCTGCAATTGGTCAAGGTCCGTTATGTAGGGTGTTACAGGATTAAATGTCAATACTGCCATGGTGGATTCACTAAATAAAATGTAGTTCAGTGCCACCAGAACGAGGTTTCTATATTGACACTTTCCTGAGATATTAACATTTTTGTGATTTTAGTCTAAAATCAGTTTTTTTACATAAAATTCAGCAACATTAAAATGACCTTTATTCCGCAAACCATATTAAACTTTCCACAAGATAGCAACATTTCCGTTGAAAAATTCTCGCTTCTGAATAAACAGTAGCAGCTCCAAGAATAACAAATGGCAAAACCCATGTTTTTGGAAAAACTCAATTGTGGCTCGGGCTATGTCTTTTCCATCAAAATTTTCGGGGATTTCACGTAAGTTGCCTTATTTTAGCGACCGACTTGACAGCATGGTTCCCTTCTTTTCCTCATGTCATTGCACGTGATTTAAATTTTCGCTATGACCTGTTTCCTCGTTTAGATGGGTATGCAGTACACTGCACTTTTTAGAGTTCCTCATATGTAAAAATCTAGCGGGGTGAGATCAGGAATCCTCGCTGGCCATGCCACGAGAAGATTGTATCTAATTTTTTTACCAACTAATTTTGCTTGTTGTTTTTATTAAAAATATGACATGTATGATGTTCTTCTGGCGGCAGTATTTGGGTCCCTGTACCGATTTTTGGAGGAAATAGGGTTGTTTTATTCCATAATAACTCTGATAGTTTTGAGTCCCTAGCGGTGTTGAGAA